TTTTTGTATTTTGGAGTTTCTTGCAAGCAAAAATGTTTGAATAGACAAGAAATGTAGTTTGCAAACAAACAAAAAAAGAATAAGAGAAAAAAGAAATTGTAAAGAAATAAACTGTACTAAACCGTGAAGTTCAGACAGGTCATAGGTCAACTGGTGTAGAAGAAAGAGAGAGAGAGAGAAAGAGAGGGAAAGAGAGGAACAACAACAGCTAGCCTAGCAACCACTAACCTATCCTAGCACCGGCTAGCCTACTTTACGACACTCAAGAATGAAGATTAACTTTATCACTTCATTTTCAAATATTTTTAAAACTTTTACATTACTCCATTTTTTATTTTATTTTTGATTTTTAAATTTAATAATTTATTTATTTATTTATTGTCGATGTAGAACGTTCATACTGTCTCGCCAAATCCATTATTCGTACGTCTTCCTAATGCTTTTTATAATTTCCCGCTTTACCTCAATCGAGATCATACGTTTCGGCTTTTCACCATTGCTCTTTATACTTACTTACTTTGGACCAATGGTGCCTCTAAAGGAATTTTGCAAAATAACGACAAATAAAACACAACATCAATCTCTAGCCATCTTTAGTTTTTGAGGTGCACCCATATATCATTGTATCGTCGGACTAGATATTCACAAAGGGTCTGAGTATACTCTTAGGCAGATCATTTATGTAAAATAAAAAGAGTGTTGGTCCTAGAAGTGACCCCTAGGAGACACCCGCGTTGATAAATAGGGCCCCGGAGGACTTCAGTTAGAAAGGACTCTTCCAGTGATTCCGTAGCTAGAGAGCTTAACCAGTAATCCTTTGTGCTGCACCTTGTCAAAAGCCCTCGAAATATCAAATACTGTAGCCCTTTCTTTTGGGAACAAAAACAATCAGTTTGTATGAAAACGGGTTGAAGGAACCTTTTATGGCCACAGTCAAACGGAGAAAAATGGCGTGGTTTAGACACATTGAGGTTGATATGCCATAAAATAAAACAAAATAAACCACACCAATCAGATGCATACACAATTTTACGTACATGTACATATGGATACTTAAAAATATGCACAAATAGATCAATAAGTCCGTAGCCTAATGCCGAAAAAATATCTATCTCAAGAAATATTCATTTTACAGCATAATCTCATATTTTTGTCAATACACTTAATGCAGTAGCGAATAATATTCTTAATAAGTAGAACTTCATACTTCCGTATCTGTCTATATTAAATAGTGAACTTCATACATTGAAAATTTTACGTTTAATTTCAGCTAATGGTTACAAGTCAGGCTATGGACTTATTGATCCAATCTTGTACATACATACATTGGGGCAATTTGATTTTTCACTTTTCTTTTCGAAAATCAACATTACATTGGATGCAAAAACTGGAGGCCGATGTGATAAATATTGACATTAAAGATTAGATTCATAGTTTTTTTTTTAATTAATTTTTGAGCATTTAGTTTTAAAGCCCGCCTAAAAAACGCACAGAAATAACTTAATTTCCTCAGGTTTTGCTTATAAACTGACTTCAAAATTTTACTATTTCAAGAATAAATCCAAATAAAGTTAATATATTTTGTATTAGATTCATTGAATGGAAAACATATTCAAACCAGAATTCGAATTATGGATCACCACAAGCAAAATAAGCAATTTTTTTTATTGTATTCCATAAGTAAAAACTGTGTAAAAAAATTGTAAAAGATATGTTCAATCATTTGTTCAATTATAAGTAATAAAAACAAAATATAAATAAAAGTGTATATAACGCCATAATATTGCTGGGCACAAATTATAAGACACAATTTTTAAAATTGGCCTTGTTTATTGAAAATCACACTAAAACAACTGTACTGTACAACATACTAGCAGTAGAGCCCGGCGTTGCCCATAATAAAGACTGAAAAATAAAATTGACAAAGATTATTGTTTAAGGTTGACGGACACGCATGTCTTAATTGTTTTTTTGTTTTTTTTTTACGAATTGGTCAAACCCAAACTCAAACAAAAACATTGTTCTCAATCGTTATGAGTCTATCGATTGAATAGAATTTTATTATAAACAATTGTCTTGTAAATGGAATTTTTAAAGCATTCTGAATGTAAAAATAAAGAAAAAAAGTGTGCAAGACAATAAGAAACACTACCTGCCCCAAAAAAGTGAAGTTTTGTTGAAATCGGTTGAAAATGTAGGAAATCCGATCCATATATAAACGAACACACACACACACACACACACACACACACACACAACTTGGGTTTTATAATAAGTATAACTCGATATGAGTTGTTCCCCTTTCATTCTCGTGTTTTCAAATTGATTTCGAGCAAAAACAATTTTTTTTTTCCAATTTTTGGCGCTGTCAGAACCACCGCAAGATAATTTTACGTAGTCCTGTAAAGTTTTGTTGAAATCGATTGAAAAATGTAGGAAATCCGATCCAATATATAAACGTACAGACACACACACACACACACACACACACAAACTGGATTTTATAATAAGTATGATTCCATCATAATATACCTCAATTTTTCAGTATAATTTCCCTTTGAAGTAAATGAAGGTCTTATTTGATGGCACAATAATTTAGTAATAATGTCCTTGTGTCATGCATCTTGTCCATATAGAATTTGTAAAGCTTTAGAAATTTGTAAATTTTATAATCACTAGAATTAAATTCCAACGCTACGATTTTGAACCTAAAAATAATCTTTAAACTCGTTTTACTCAAAAAACGGTAAGGGTTTGAAAAAAATATTTTGTGACTTTATTTATCATGTAAAACTCTAACTTTCAAATTGAGTGCAATGCCACGGTTCCATAATCAACCTGCCCTATATTTGCCATATCTCTCACAATACACACACTAAAACATACACACACTCTCATTTAGACATACACACTGAAGTTCTTACCCACCCGGTCACATACACATAAAATTGTACATACACGTATATAAATACACTTGCATACGCATATATATGTAAGAAAATCAAAGGCACCTTGAGGTTAGCAAGCTTAGTAAGCTTGTCTCGCTAAAACAATTACGACTGAGCAGTGACTACGATCCTCACATGGTGCCTCATACATTCGGCCTTGTGCCACACCTGAGCTACGCTTAAAAAATCACTATATGTAAGAAAATCGTTGTCCGTAGTCGTTTTCCCCTCAGGGAAAACACTTAAGCCAATGTTTGACTCTACCTGATTTGAGACCAGTTCAGACGTAGCACAAGGGCGAAAGTGATGAGAAAGTGAGGATCGAACTCACTATTAAGCTACAATTGATCAAACTTGTTGACCATTACACTACGTCGAAGTACCGAAATCAACAAGTCCGTAGCCTGATTATGAAAAACAAATTTCACAAGAAAATATTTATTTTCAGTATAATCTCATTCTGTGTCAATGCACTTAATTCGGCGGTGCATAAGCTGCCCATGCTTCGAAACATATAAAAAGAAAAGCATGGTCCAATAATTTCATATAAGGTTTCCGACTTATTGATCCAAACTTGTGCGTACATACACATTTACACACATACACACACACACATACACACACACACACTCTCTCTCTCTCTCTCTCTCTCTTTCACTTAAACACACGCACACACTCTTACACTTACGTAAATATGGGCACTTCAACGTGGTGTAATGGTTAACAAACTTATCTTCCTAGACCCATTATCACTGAATTGTGAGTTCGATGCTCACTAGGTGGCCCATATTTTCGGCCTTATGCCACGTCTAAGATACGCTTAGAAAATTATCATATACTTAAGTAGATCAATAAGTCCGTAGCCTAATGATGAAAATGTATTTTGCACAAGAAATACTTTTTTTCACCGTAATCTCATTCTTTGTCAAGGCACTTAATTCAATAGGGTATAATCCCCCTACTTCGACCCTCATATCGTGAAAAATTTAGATCAAACTTCGGCCAAGAGTTAAATTTTAGACCGCGGAAGTTGTAAACATCCACTTTATTGCTTCGGTGTGTTGTAATGGTTAACAAGTTTCTCTTGTTAGAAGAATTACAACTGAGTAGTGAGTTCGATCCTCATTGGGCGCCCCATACTTTTGGCCTTGTGTCACATCTAAGCTACGTTTGGGAAATCTGGAGTACTTCGACGTGTTGTAGTGGCTAGCAAGCTTGCTTCGCTAGTTTTATTACAACTGAATAGTGACTTCGATCCTCATTGGGTACTCCACGCTTTTGGTCGTGTGCCACATCTAAGCTACGTTTAGAAAATCATTTCTTCGGGCACTTTGTGGCGGTGTAGTGCTTAGCAAGTTTGTCTCGCTAGAGCAATTACGACTGATTAGTGAGTTCGATCCTCACTGGGTAAACCCTACTATCGGCCTTGTGCCACATTTTAAGCTATCTCTCTCTCTCTCTCTCTCTCTCTCTCTCTCTTGCGCAGCGCACACACAAACCTGTTTTCCTGAAAAATTCTCTTAAGAGAAAGATTTTATAGATTTCAAACGAAAGTGGCTGCTCGGTCAGTGGATGCCAAATGTTTCATTATGAGGAAAGGGTTAATATTACCAGATGTACCCTACCATTTATTTAATTAGATCAATAAATCCGGAGCCTAATGATGAAAATTATTTGTCAACGCACTTAGTTCATCGGGGAATAATATTCTCATACTTCGAGCATTATACACTGAAAAACTTCGATCAAATTTCGGTTAAGTCTACAAACTTACTGATCCTAAGTTGTAAACAAATATACACATAACTTAAGCATTCTCTTTCTCTCTCTCTCTCTCTCTCTCTCTCTTGCGCGCGCACACACACACTAACTCTTACATATAAAAAAAGATTCCTGGGCACCTCGAGGCGTTGTAATGGTTAACAAGCTTGTCCCGCTAGAACAGTTATGACTGAGTCCGATCCTCATTGGGCGCCCCATACTTTCGGCCTTGTGCCACATCTGAGCTATGCTTGGAAAATCACTATATAAAACGTTCATAGCAACACTCAGATGTACACACAATTGTACCTACATATACCTAAAGGTACTTATTCATATACGTAAGTACATCAACAGGTTCGTAGCCTCAGGGTCGATGCAAGAGTCTCGTGCCCTCACTAATCTATGATACGAGGCCGCCCGAATCTTTTATATGGGCTCCCGAAACTATGATACGCCCCCTCTCTACTACATCTCAATTTTCATAAGGTAACATTTATATAAAATACGAAATTTATTGTAACTTAATTATCTACGAATAATGGATGGTATGCAATATAGATGAACAATTCAACTAGAAAAATTAATAAATCCAATGTATCTAAATAAAAATTAGAGACATGTCATAAGAGATCATTCCATCTTAAATAAATTTAAATAAATTTAAATAACTCAACAATGCTTAGCGGAAATTTTTAATATGAACTTGAGATTTTTCTTGTTAAAAAGTTGAAGAATTTTAACACATTCAACATTATGGATAAAAAAAAATATAGTTAATTTTATATCGTGTTTTTTGTTTTCCAAGACTTATGAGCAAATGCATTCAGGACTTCATCACAGTCAAGGGGTCGAACACAATCATTTTCAAGGGAAATTATTGCTAACCTCATTTCTCATTGTTGATCACAGATAAGTTTTAGTTTGTTTCTCCAGAATCCATGATACGGGGCCCCACTTTACTACATATCAGTTTTCAGAAGGTAGTATTTATAGTGATTTTTCAAGCGTAACTTGGATGTGGCACAAGGCCGAAAGTAAGAGGCACCCAGTGAGGATCGAACTCACTACTACTATATTACTCTAGCGAGACAAGCTTGCTAACCATTACACCACCTCGAGGTGCCCAAAGGTAGTATTTATATAAAACACAAATTGTATTGTACAATAAATGGATCATATGCAAAATAGGTGAACATATTAGAAAAATTAGAAATAAATCCAATGTATCTAAATAAAAATTAGAGACATGCCATAATAGATCATTCCATCTTGAATAAATCAACAATGTTTTGTGGCAATTTTTAACATCAACATGAGATTTTTCTTGTTAAAAAGTTGAATAATTTTTTAACATATTTAACATTATGGATAAAAAAAAACATAGTTAACTTTATATGTTGTTGCTTTCAAGATTTGATATGGGCAAAACTTATTCACGGATTTTGGACGGAAAAAAAAATGACGTCAAAATCCGCGAAAATTTTTCTTCCTTTAGTTGTGCTTAGTTTAATTTGTAACGTATTTAAAAATGTATTTAAAAACAAAAACAAATGTTGGCAAGATAGGGTGAGTCAGGAAAGCATTTTCAGGGCGTCCCAAATCAGGCTTACTCCTGTTCCTTCCCGGTCGGGGGTTTGGGGCTAGTATGCACCGGTCCTGCGCAAACTAATAATGAAAACGTATTTCGCACAACAAACATTTTGTTTTTAATTTAGTTCCACTCTTTGTCAATGCACTTAATTCAGTATAGAACAATATTCTCATACTCCGATCATGGTTGTTAGGCTGCGGACTTATTGATTCAAAGTTGTATACACATATATACATACACATTCTTTCTCACTCCCCACATCTCTCTCCATCTCTCTCTCTCTCTCTCTCTCTCTCTCTCTCTCTCTCTCGACCCCCTCCACTTTGTACATGAAAGGTACGCGACTTGACCCGACCTATTACTATTATTTTTGACCATCCCTTCAACTGAAGTAGAGCTCTTAATTCGTTATCTCTATTAAAGCACATTTTCCAACAGGACAAATCTTTCAGTTTGACGCTCCAAAAGGCATGTGGAAATAGCAATTTGAATATCAGTTAACGCCAGAAGGACCCTGCGACCGTGTCTATAAAAATAGAGAGGGAGAGATAAAAATTGAGAGTGAGACGGAGGGAGATAGAGACAGATAGAGATAGAAAGAATAAAAGAAACAATTAAAAATTTTTTTTAAGTGCTTAAGATAAAACGTTACTAAAAAATTATTATTCAGAAGCAAAAGTTAATTGTCGTGATCTCCCGTTTTTTTTTCTTTTTCTTTTTCTTTCTTGCTTTCTCTCTTTTTTTTTTAAATTTGACTCAACGAAAAATTTTCCACACGGATGAACATCTCTCCAATACTTTCACCAACATATTTTATTTTATTTCTATTTTATTTAAAATAATAATTTAATTTTGAGATCCGCTTCACCCTACGAACTCTTGACGAAGTATTTTCATACGCCCCATCAAATTGGTAGTGACTAACAAGTTAGAATTAAACACTATGAGAGTGCCACAGTTTGAGATTTACTCAAGATTATGACCAGAACATTAGCCGTTTCAAATCGTCAGAAATGGCGGCTTAAATTTGGTCCCTGGATTAATTTTATCATAAGATTATCTTTATGATTTTCTTGATCTTTTGAAATAGAATTAAACCCCGATTTTGGCTGGAGAAGATTTGAAACCCCCAGAAATAGTTGGGTTTTATTTCACAAGGCATTGTTATACCAACAACAGTTTATAGCATTTCGAGTAGATCTATTTTGACATTATATTTTTTTAAGTTCATCTTTCAACCGAATCAATATTTTTTTAGCCCTTGATTACACCTTGACCTCATCTCGCATTTGGTTTGCACTTCCTATTAACATATTTTGACCGAGTCATTCTCCCTTCATCTACAGGTGTCTACAGGCGACTAAACAAGGCCAACAATAATATACTGAGCTAAAACCGCTATTTCGTATTCATTTCAAAGTAATTTTTCTTTTTTCCTTCTCTCTCTTTGTCTGACTTTTTTCTCTGACTTCCTCTTTCTCTTTTTTCGTCTTTCCCCCTTTTTTTATCGTTTTATATATATATATATATATATATATATATATATATATATATATATATATATACGCGCTATTACGCTATTCTTGATGTTGAGGACTGTAACACGTCATAAGTATAATATCCTAAAACTATATTTTGGACATTATTAACTAATTCAATATTTCGAGGAATAGTACCAATCTGGAGTGAGTTTTATTCTTATTTGACGCTCTATATTGTTGTCTTTGTGTCAGACTTGGCTATCTCTATTTCCTTTTAAACATACAAGTATGACCAACGACTTTATTAGTTGGCTACTTTTTATCTCGCCAGCTTTGATTTGCAACTGTCTTCCTGCCACCTTATTCGGAAACGACCCATTCTCTGTCGTGTGGAATGGGGCCTCTGAAAAATGCCGGGAAAACTTTGGAATTGAATTCAATTTATCAGCCTACAGCATCGAAGACAACGCTGGAGATTCCTTCTATGGTGACAAAATGGTAATCTTTTACAAAAACGAACTTGGAAAATATCCTCGCGTTTTGCCAAACGGGTTCGAAATTAACGGAGGGATACCTCAGGTAAATATAATCTCTTACTTTTTTTTTTTTAATCGTATCCCCACCAACAAGGTAATAAAGCCACTAAGACGCAGGTAAGGGAATAAGAAAACTTTATTGGAAGGATTAAAGAAAGGACAAAAAAAAAAGGGATAGCGTTCAAGAAGACAGAAGATGGCGATTGACAAAGTATTTAAATTTTTGGAGATTGCTTGCATGGTTGTTAGTAAAATTATTTTTTTTACATCTCATTATTTTATGAGCCTTTTGTTTCGCATAGGATATGAAATAATTAGGGTACTGGAGGAACTTAAACGTATTTTTAATGTATTTTTCCTTTTCACGCAAAATACTTAGTGCTGCAAATTTTGAGTAATCCTAAATAGAATCCAATGATTATTCCGGATTTTATTTTGATGTTATGATGAGAATAGAAATTTACGAGATCATCTTTATTAGTTGATTTTCGATGGACACTAAGTTTTAAGCTACTGTCAACGCAGTGTAACATGCCTAGGAAAGGTAAAGTATTGTTTTCCTCCATTTCGTATGTAAATTCTATTCTATGTTCGACTTTCTTTAGTTTACAAGATCCAGTAAATCAGTATCACGGGAATATATTAATAGAACATTATCATTATATCAGAAGTAAGTTGATTGTTTAGGTAAAATATTTTGTAAAGAACCAAAATCAAGAAATTCTAAGCTACATGCCATTACTTCATTATTTTATAGAACTCTCCTGTCATTCTGATCATTCCCAAGGCGGGAAGTTAGTAATTTGCATACGTAATTATGGAAGCACATTCTAAAAAAATATATTTATTTGTATAAAATACAAAATGTGGCACAAGGCTGAAAAGAGGGAATGGAGGAAAAGAGACGGTCTTCATCTGTCTTAAGTTTAAACTTAACTAGCCACAAACACTGACCCAAACAATATTCCTTACATCAAAACCACACATTCATACGTACCTTTCTTACTACAGTTACCATAATACCACATAGTCTTTATAAAAGTCCTAACTAGACCCCATATGTACAAATAATTGCTTGTGGGGGAGGGGAATAAAACAACAAATTTAAAAATTTGCCCCAAATGATTATTTGCAAAAATGTACAAAACTCTTTACAAAAAACTAAACAAAATGATGTTAGTAATAAAATCCTTACGGTCTCTAATTTGACAGAAACATCAGTTAACTGGACGAAATTAATGCGGGACTTTAATGATATAAAAACATTCATTCATCCAATCACTCACTCAAATATGCACTCACGACAACAAATACAAAAAATCACGCCTGAAACGAAAGGCGCCCCGCACCCACCAGAGAACTGATGTCGCTGACCACCTAACGAGGGAGGGATGGGGAATTAAACCAAAGAAAATATAGGGACAGAAATAAGAGGGGCCAATGAGCAAACATCCTCTAGCTAAGTTAACCTAAAGAGAGAAAAATAAGGACAAAAAAAACGAAAACCTAAACTAACCTAAATCTGGGCGGAGTTAACTTCTGTTTAACACAGGAAGAACCATTCTAAAAAAAAATATTCAAACTCTACTGCACTGTTAACCCTTAAAACACATGAGGATAGTGACGTATGCAAATTACTAACTTCCCGCCTTGAGGGAATGAAAAAAATAACAGGAGAGTTCCATAAGATTTGATACTAAGCTGCTTGGTGAATTCCTCTTAATAAACTAATCAACTAACGGAAAATTCCAAGATGAACAAGATCACCATCATATTAAGTACGTTTCAGCATACCAAACCTTGTGAAACGCCCTCGAAATATCTAGCGCCACATCACAGATATCACGACCTTTATATACATATTCAGTAATGGCCGTTAGCACGTCAGCGGTAGAGTTGGCAAAACGGAAGCCATCTTGTTTGTCAAAGAGTAAGGTCGTGAGAGGTAAGATGCTTAATCACTTCAGCATTGATTAAAGCCTCGAATACTTTGCCGATAAAGCAGTAGGAGACTAATAGAGTGACAGTTAGAGACGTCATCAATATATTGGAAGTATACTGATTATTTAGGTGAAATATTTTGGAAAGGACCAGATTCAACAAATTTTAAGAAAATGCATGTTATCACCATCCCACATGAGGCGATCCATTGTTAATCAAAATATTTTGTTTATAAAAACTTATGGTAAAATATAAAATAGCGTTGATTGGTGATGAGACGTCTCCTTATTATTATTATTTTATCTATTGGTAGGGAGAGGTTGATTATTGTTAGATTTTTTTTATCAACTACGGCATTGGTGTAAAGGGATTTTATATCTAAAGTAGCTGTGTGTTTGTCAGTCATAATGGTTCCTATTAGTTTTTCAAACAGATCGACTGAAATTTTGAGATGAGATGGGCTGATTGTTTCCGAGGAGAGGGGTTAAATTTTTTGTTATGTCTTTCACCAGGTTGTAGGGTCCGTTGCCAAGACCTGCGATAATAGATCGTATTGGGATGCACACACACAAAAAAATGCAGCACCTCCTTTTTTTACATGCGCATTTATAGTCGCATCAATATAAGCATAAATTTAGTCTGATGAAGTCTTAAAGAACGAAACGCGTCACACGAAAACATTTTCCACTTTTTTCATATCTGCCTGTGGATGACTATATATATATATATATATATATATATATATATATATATATATATATATATATATATATATATATAGTAATTATTAGGAGGATTTGATAATTATATTTAATTAATTCATGGAGTCTGATAGAAACCTCAACAGAAAGCACTGGACGGCCGTTTCGTCCTATATTTGGGACTCATCAGCAGTGAGGTTTCTATCAGACTCGATGAATTAATTAAATATATATATATATATAATATATATATATATATATATATATATGTGTGTGTGTGTGTGTGTGTGTGTGGATTGTATTCCTCACTACTTCAAGCGAAAGGTTAGGAAGGAAACATCGATCAGTTCTGGAAAGAGCGATAACAGTTAGTGGACGCCAGAAATTTATTTTCGGGAAAAATATTTCAAGAGAAATATTCGATAAATTTCAAGCGAAACTGACTGCGCGGTTAATGAATGTCGAATGTTTCCTTATAAGGAAATGATTAATATTATCACATATACACTACAGTTCGAAGGTTTAAAGCCACCTCCAGAATTTTTGACGTCGACTCGAGATTTTTCTTGCTAAAAAGAAATTTTAACACATTCAACCTTATGGATAAAAAAATAGTTATTTTTATGTAGTGTTTTTTTTTCTAGACTTATCCTGAGCAAAACAAATTCACGGAATTGAACAAAGAAAAGACCCCAGCATGATGTGAAAATCCGAGAAAATGTTTCATCCTTAAATAATCATTTGGGCTTAATTTAATTTATAACCTATATTAATGTAGGTAGAAAAAAACAAATGTTGATAAGATGGCACTAGCCTGATATATACATATATATATTCATGCACGTTTCATTAAATAATATAGACAAGTGTTGTCTATTTATTTTATGTAAATTTTTTTCGTAACGCCTGATAAGTTTAATAACATTATCGTTGAACGAAGAAAGAAATTCACAATATTGATCCATATTTTTTTAAATACAATCTAAGCTTTCGGCTTACTTAAGCCATTATCAAAGATGTCAGTTGCAACATATTAAGCAATATACGGACAAGACAGTGATAATAGTCTGTCAATGTTTACATAGATGATTTCTAAGCAACGATAAACACGTGCATATAAGACGCTAGAAGCGAAAATCGCACCGCATCTCATGACGTCACACATGACCACGCGAGAGTGAATTGGAGAAGTATGAAGTATGGGAATCCATTGGTATAAACCAATGGCTTCTGTTACCAATTATAGACATTTAAGAATATTTGTAAAGATTGATTTTGTTTGGGTTGGGTTTCAACTGTTTGATGTATAATGCTTCAAGGATTTTTAGTTTTTGTCTATTGTTTTCATGTTGAAGTATAATTGTGTTTTCGACAAGTATTTTACGGAACTGTGTGTGCGGGCAGGCATGTTATTTTAAATGCCTAAAAATGTTAGAGTTTTCATTCAAATGTAGTGTCAAGCGTCGTGAAATATATATATATTACAATGAATCATTCATACAAAAAGTAAATTAATAAAGTTAATGATATAAAATGGCGAAATCCCTTCGCTAACAAAATTTTAAAGATGGATTAACCAACTAATCACTCGATGAATGTTATGATCCTGTTTTTTTTTAATTATAAGCTGTATAAGGTCTTTCCTAAATACGCAAGTACTTTCGACTGTACATTCAGTCATCTTCAGGTATGGAAATTTAATTAACAACTGAGACATTACTTATCGAACAATATAGTTAATGCCACATTGACTGACACACCTACTACAACAAAAAATTCTCAAATTGCCATATTAGTAAAAAACGCTCTCACTTAAATTTTCAAAAAAATTCAACCTTAGAGTTGTGACTGCACGCTCCAAAAGTTTTTATCCGTTAACAATAACACATATTATTTCCATAATATTCACTCTAACTCTTCAAATGTTGAAAATATAACTAATTCTAATTTCTATATTCCCTTCTCTTCACAATATATTAATTAAAATTCATAAACTTTCCCCTACTTTAATATCTCCCCAAATCTCTTTCTATTAATCCTTTACATCCTTTTATATGTTATTTTCAAACCCCTTTTTATTCTTCTTTTAATTTTAAATAAATATTTCATTCTTCATATATATATATATATATATATATATATATATATAGATAGATAGATAGATAGATAGATATAGATAGATAGATGGAACAAATACATTGAGTCAATTGCTTCGTCCACCGCAAGGAAAGTTGGCTCCCTGTGCCGCACCAGGAAATTTTTCTCCCCGGAATCGATCCTCCAGATCTACAAATGAACAATTCGCCCTTGCATGGAGTATTGCTACCATATATGGTCTGGAGCCCCTTCTGTTTGCCTCGGGGTTCTTGATAGGCTCCAGAGGCGGATATGCAATATAATTGGCCCTGTTCTGGCATCTCGTCTACAGTCGCTTTCTCACAGACGCGCCGTCGCCTCTCTCTGTCTTTTCTACAAATACTTTCATGGCAATTGCTCCGATGAGCTGCTTTCGCTGGTTCCCAGACTTCATGAGTTCAAGCGCCCTATGAGGCTGGCATACCGCTCTCACCCTTTCACTGTCGAAACTGTTAAATGTAGCCGTCTCTTCTACTCCAATAGCTTCATTTCTCGCACCTCTCGCCTGTGGAACTCCCTTCCCTATCCCAGTTTCCCTGTGAGCTATAATCTCCAACTATTCAAATGTAAGGTCAATCGACATTTCCAGTTGCCTTGATCTATCCAGTATCCTTCTCCTCATCCTTTCTTCTATCACTCCTATCTGATCTTACTCCAAATTTTTTGTAACCCCTTGCGTCCTCGTGGCTTCTCGCCTTGCTTGGGTGAAAACTTAAATATATATATATATATATATATATATATATATATATATATATATATATATATATATAGAGAGAGAGAGAGAGAGAGATATTTGGGCAGCAATCTTTCTTTTAAACCTCTTTCTTTGAATATGACAAACAAGGAAATTTGATGATTTTTTTAATTTAGTTTTTCTAATATTCTACCATTTTTGTTTTTTGTTTTGTGAGTAAGTGAATGTAAAAAAAAAGGTCTGTATTGTCCATTGTCCCAAGCGTTTTCAACCATTTTATCCATTTTCATGGGGATTTTATTATGAAGTTTTGTTAATTTCTTTTCATGTTTGCCTGTTTACGTTGGTACTCCACGCTGTAATAGTAGATCTGCCAGGAATGGTGAAATGTTGCAAAAGCCATAAAATATATTTATGAAAAAAAATTTTTTAACTATATTTTAAGGTAAAAGTTTGAAATGCCTGCATAACACCGTTAATTCATTTCTTTGGTTTAACATAGCTTTATTGTTAGCAAACTTTATAATACGTATTTTTTCTTTGTAAACACAGAAACATAGATCATGTAAAGATTTACAAGTTCTAGTTTTTATTTTTTTATTGTGTGTGTGTGTGTTTGAGAGAGAGGTGGTGAGAAAGGAGGAATTGTTTATATCTCTTATCAACTATAATTAATTTCTTCTTTGCTAGCTTGCACCCCTTCAAGATCATCTCCGTGCTGCATCAAGTGACATCAACAACGCGATTCCAAATGAGGCTTTCTCGGGTCTCTCGGTAATTGACTGGGAGAGTTGGCGTCCCCTCTTTGTTCATAATTTCGATTCGAAAAGGATCTACAAATTTCTCTCCAAGCAATTGGTACGGCAGAAACATCCGAACTGGAATAAACGCCAAGTGAAATTAAAAGCCATGCACGACTTTAACAAAGCCGCCAAGTAAGTGAAAAAGGTTTTTATTCATCATGAGTAACTAAGTTAGCTGCCCTTCGTGCCTCTGACGGCAAAATGATCAAATCTAAAATCTAAATTATTTGCTTGCATTATTTACATTATTTGGACTGTTATCCTCATCTTCATTGCCATATTCACAACGTTTCGACCGTTGTACATTCCAACCTTCTTCAGGTGTTTGGATCTCTTAAATGAGGTATTATGATTATTACATTATTTACATTATTCGGGCCGTTATCCTCATCTTCATTGCCATATTCACAACGTTTCGACTGTTGTACACTCCAATCTTCTTCAGGTGTTTGGATCTCTGAGATGAGGTATTATGCTTACTTGTGTTATTTACATTATTCGGGTTGTTATCGTCATCTTCATTGCCACATTCATAACGTTTCAGCCGTTGTACGCTCGGGCCTTCTTCAGGTGATTGGAATTTAAAACCGAACCCTTTATTTCGTTCACCGGGATAGATTGTTCTAGTTCCACGTGCCATGTCTATTCAGGGTGTCTCAGTTATTTCCCTTTAACTCAACTCTTCAAGTTTTGCTTCACCACTCCTGTGGCCTGGTATTGAACTCACAACTCTTTGGGTCTAGTTACTGGATCTAACAAACGTCTTTATCCACTGGACAATTTAAAATACGACATTAATTGGAAAATATTTTCAGTTTAAATAGTCATAAAGTGACTTCAAATATATTATTATTCACCAGGTTGGGTGCAAGGGTGCCATACCCCCCCGCCGAATTTATGATACGCCATTACACTCTACTCCATCTGAATTGTCATAAGGTGGTATTCAGATAAAATAGAAATTTTTATTGTAAACTAATTATGTACAATAATAGATCATTCCGGACTATTGTCCTCATCTTTGTCACAACGTTTCGGCCGTTGTACGCTCCGGCCTTCTTCAGGTGGTTGGAATTTCGAACTGAACCCTTTATTTCGATCACTGGGATAGACTGTTCTAGTTCCACGTGCCATGTTTGATGGATGTCAGTTATCAGTTATCTCCTGCTAATTTTCCCTCTGAAAGTTCTCCACTGCCTTAACCGGGTATTGAACTCACACTCTTTGGGTCTGTCACTGGATCTAACCAACGCCTTTATCCACTGCGCCATGTGTCCTAAAGAAGGCCGGAGCGTACAACGGCGGAAACGTTGTGACAAATATGGCGACAAAGATGAGGACAATAGTCCGACTAATGTAAATACTGTACATAATACCTCATCTCAGAAATATCGACAGACTCTGATAGATCATTCCATCTTAAATAAATTTAAATAAATCAACAATGCTTAGCGGAAATTTTTAATATGAACTTGAGATTTTTCTTGTTAAAAAGTTGAAGAATTTTAACACATTCAACATTATGGATAAAAAAAATATATAGTGAATTTTATATCGTATTTTTTGTTTTCCAAGACTTATGAGCAAATGTATTCAGGACTTCATCACAGTCAAGGGGTCGAACACAATCATTTTCAAGGGAAATTATTGCTAACCTGGATAACCTTTCATTTCTCATTGTTGATCGCAGATAAGTTTTAGTTTGTTTTTCCAGAATCCAATGTACGGGGCCCCACTTTACTTCATATCAATTTTCAGAAGGTAGTATTTATATAAAACACACATTGTATTCTACAATAAATGGATCTAGGTGAAGAATTCAACTAGAAAAATTGAAAATCAATAAAATGTATCTAAATACAAATTAGAGACATATAAGAGATCATTCCTCTTTAAATAAATCAACAATGTTTTGAGCTAATTTTTAACACCGACTCAATATTTTTCTTATTTAAGAGTTGAATAATTTTAACACATTCAAAATTGTGGATAAAATATAGTGAATTTTATAAAAGTGCTTTTTTTTTCGAGCAAAATAAATTCACGGATTTGGACGAACAAAAATGTCGTCAAAATCCGCGAAAATTTTTCTTCCTTTAGTTGTGCTTAGTTTAATTTGTAACCTATTTAAATGTAGGAAGAAAAAAAAAAGCTTGCCGTAGGCAATTTTTATGAGGATTTCTTTTATCTTATTTTTCTTGCTTTTCAGCATAAGATATAATAGTCTCTGAATTTCTATCTATAAAAGACAGGTGTGTGTGTGTGTTTGCGCGTGCGTGCGTGTGTGACGAATGCACGGCCGCAATTTTCGACGGATTTGCACCAATATTTACATGCACATGCTCCAAGTTAGCGGGAAGGCCAAGACCGACTTTGCATTTCCCAACTCCCATCGATAGTGGAAATAATCGATTTTTTTTTCATGTTTCTACGGCAGCTGGCCAGATAAAGAAAGTTGCAAAGCATTTTCAGGGCGTCCCAAATCAGGCTTACTCCTGTCCCTTCCCGGTCGGGGGTTCGGGGCTAGTACGCACCGGCCCTGCGTAACCTAATAATGAAAACGTATTTTGCTCAACAAACATCTTTAATTTAATCCCACTCTTTGTCAATGCACTTAATTCAGTAGCGAACAATATTCTCATACTCCGAACATCTATAAAATAATAGACTTTGGTTGTTAGGCTACGGACTTATTGATTCAAAATTCTAGACACATATATACATACACATTCTTTCTCCCCACTCTCTCTCTCTCCCTCTTGCACCCCCCTACTTTGGACATGAAAGGTACGTGACTTGACCTGACCTCAAGCTGTTAATATTATTTTTGACCATCCCTTCAAGTGAGGCGCGGTGGTGTAATGGATAGCGGATTGAGGAATCGGAGAGCCGAGTTCGAATTCCAGTCGAATCCTTTACATTCATTTACGTGCTAATACTCTTGGGAAAGATATGAATCCTCTTCTTCTCCCCACATGTAAATTATGCGTAAATAGCAGGACTTTGGTGGCAACTGGTCTACCGCAGAAAGAAATGGCAACGTACTACGGGAAAGAAAATCTGCCTCGTCAGTCATGTATCGAAAGATACATGATCGCCTAAGCGTGTATCAAGCATGGCACATAACTGACTTCAACTGAAGTAGGGCTCTTAACTCGTTTTTTCGATACTGAGCATGCTCAAAAGAATTTCATGGCTTTTGGACGAAGAAAAAGTATTATTCTGATTGTATAAGACATTTACACTTTTTTTTTTCATAAGGTCATAATGTCTCCTCTCCAACTTTGCAACAGAGGCTCCCTAATTACACTAAAGACCGGCTTGGTGGATACCAACGCCGCGTGTCCACGGGGACTGAGGAATTATAGTCAATGGCCCATATGTATGTGAATGGGTACACCACTCTAAACTGATCTTGCCATCTTGATATCGTAAATAGGTAGCTAAATAATGGGTCAAAATATCGTTTTTCCAGAATATTGAGCCTTTTCATCTATACTATTATTTTGTATTATCGTTACACTTTTCTACATAAGGTCAGAGTGTAATAAATACCTAAAGTCCAGATCTCCTACGTTTTTTTTTTGTGTGTGTGTGTGTTATATACCATACCTATGAATAGTAATCTGCTACTAGCAGTGGTTTACCTACTTCGTGCCGCTGGCGAGAGTTGTATTTTGTTGATGTTGATTACCATTTCATCTCCAACCTCCGTTTTGGTTATTCCTCATTCACTAACACTTTCTAGGTATGTATTTCTGAATTTCTTAGATTAAACCTTGTCAATTATTATTCATCTTTATGAGTATTTCTTTTATCTTATTTTTCTTGCTTTTCAGCATAAGATGTAATAGTCTCTGAATCTCTATCTATAAAAGGCAGGATGTGTGTGTGTGTGTGTGTGTGTGTGTAACGAATGCACGGCCGCAATTTTCGACGGATTTACACCAATATTTACATGCCCATGCTTCAAGTTAGCGGGAAGGCCAAGACCGACTTTGCATTTCCCAACTCCCATCGATAGTGGAAATAATCGATTTTTTTCATGCTTCTACGGCAGTTTTCATGTAGTTTGTAGCCATTTTCTACTGGCCAGAGTGAGAGCCAATAGCTGGCTGCCACGAATAGGCAGGAAGATTCTATTGGCAGGTGTGAGAGCCAACAGCTGACTGACACGAGTGTTAACTAGCATGCAAAAAAAAATCGATAGCTGCATTCGTCACAAGTGGGAAAAATTTAAATCTGCATGGCACTTTACTCCAATTGGCTCATTCACTTGCTTAAACTCAACGTTGAATCTGATTCCGTAGAACTGGGTTGGGTGTGAAAAAGTATGTGTTGTTAACATTCTTTTTTCATTCGGTTTTTCCAGTTACGAGTCCTTTTTTAAAGCTGATCGTTTTGTGTTCATTTTGTTTAGTTCTTTTTTCGTAACAGATTTAATGTTTAGTATCGAGCTTAGAAAAAATTCGCAGTGTGAGATAGGCAACAAGTAAGGCATGTAGCAACATCAGCACGGAAAAGGGCACTTGTTTAAAGGCAAGGAAGAGCAAAAATATTTTAAGTCAAGTGATAGCAGTTGCTGTATGATTCGTACGATTGTTTAATCAAGCACAGGCAACGCCGGGCCATGCTGCTAGTTTCTTAGATAAAGCATTGTCAATTATTATTCATTTTTGACTAGGATTTCGTTCATTTTATTTCTCTTGCTTTTCAGTATTAAGATGCAATAGATTTGCAAGACATTTTTAAATGTAGTTTTTCAAATTCTAATACACATTTTAAATTTCTCTTTTTCACGTAATTTATCTTCCAGGCATTTCATGTGGTCAACACTTAACAGGGCCATTACTTTGCGTTCATCTGGCCGCTGGGGATTTTATGGATTCCCCAGGTGTTACAAACATCACTGCATCACAACTCGAATCGATAACAACAGGTAATTTTTATTTCTTAAATTTTTTTGCATACCCTGAAATGTACGAACATTCCAGAAGAATTTTTTTAAAAATCGTATAGACCCCTAGTAAGGCAATAAAGCCACTAAGACACAATAGGTTACTAGCAGAATTAGAAAACAGAAACATCACAAAGGAGCGAGAACAATGGAAGAGTAATCAGGAAGACTAGATAGCGATTGGCGTTGCATTTAAATTTTTGAAGATTAAAGTTGACTGGAAAGCATGCAGGTGGAAAAGAGTTCCACAAGCGGGAAGTGTGAGAAAAAAAACTGTTAAATTCGAATTTACAGTTACATCTTGCCAGCTCAACTGTAAAGTGGCGAGACCTCACCGCCAATCTAGTACTGCGCTTAAATTTGAAAAAAGTCTAGGTACCATAGCGAAGAGCGATATTTATTCTGTTCTCTACATAAATGTGGCACAGGGCCGTAAGGGGGGATTGGGGAAAGGACGGTTTTCTCCTGTCTTAACTATAACTTAGCTAGCCGCAAACACTGACCCAATCGTACGAACAATATTCCTTGCACCAAAACAACACATCCATACGTACCTTTCTTACTACAATCACCATAATACCTCTTTGTCTCTATGAAAATGCTAACTAGTCCCCATATTTACAATTCATTTGTCTGTGGGGAGAGGGGAATAAAACAACAATTCTAAAAAAACTAGCCCCAATGAGTATTTACAATATGAATACAAAACCTATTTACAAGAAACTAAAGAAAATAGGATTAGTAATAACCCCCCCACACACACACACACACAATACCATAGCGAAGAGCTCATCCGAGCAATTATCATGAAAGTTTTTATAGAAAAAGCAAAGAGAGGCAACTTTATGGCGGTGAGAAAGTGACTGGAGCCGAGATGCCAGATCAGGACTGGTAATATTGCTGATTCTTCTTTAGATTTTATCGAGGAGATCCAGGAAAATAGCAAGGGCACTGGACCATATGTGGCAGCAATATTCTAAGCATGGACGAATGGTACACTTATAGATATGTAAGTTGTGTGTGTGTGTGTGTGTGTGTGTGTGTGTGTGTGTGTGTGTGTGTGTGTGTGTGTGTGTGTGTGTGTGGTTGTGTGTGCGCGCTCTAAATACATCTTTCGTTACAAATTATGGATAAAGATTTTTTTCATTTCAAATAATTTTATTTATCATTTATTTTAATTATTTAACCTCCAAGCAAGGCAATAAAGTCACTAAGACGCCTGGGGTTACTGAGAGTGAAAGAATGAGAAGACTTTAGTGATGAGAAAGGACAATAAAAGAACATTAATCGGGATGACAGAAGATTGACGTTTCATTTAAACTTTTGAAGATCTCGGGGGGGGGGGGAAGCCAGATACCGGAAGAGAGTTCCACAGGTGAGAAGTGCAAGAGAAGAAACCATTAGAATAGAACCTACGGTTGCGTATAGCTATTTTAACAACAAAACGATGGAACCAAATTGCAAATCTAGTAGTATGTTTAAATTCATTTGGTGAAATACCAAAAGGAGAGAAAGCTCACGAGAACAATTACCAGGAAAATATTTATAGAAATGACAAGAATTAGATTTTGTTGTTGCTGCTGTTGGGAGTGTAAAAGTGATGTAACTTTGATTGTGATTATATAGCGCCAGGACCTGATGAAGGGTCGTCTTCATTGAGTTGAAGCCATTTTTAAACATTCATCTGAGGAAAATTTGATGTAAAGTGGGGAAAAAACGAAAATACTTTTGATACACCCAAATATGATATAATAATATAGTGGAATATAGTCTTTAGAAGTTTCCATGTCATAAGCTTCGGAGTAAAGGGAAGAAAAAACGGAAATACTTTTGATACACATGAATATATGATAATAATATTTATAATATATTAGTTATAGATAGTCATTAAACATGTACATGAAATAAGCTTTGGGGTAAGAGGCAGAAAAAACGAAAATACTTTTGATACACCCGAATATATAATATTAATAATATAGTGCAATGATTGATAGTATTTAGATGTGTCCATGAAATAAGCTTTGGGGTAAAGGTCAGGAAAATGAAAGATTCCCACAAAAATAGAACGGGGTGTAAGACAAGGATGTGTCATCTCACCGGACTTATTCAACCTATACAGCGAGACGATTCTGAAAGAAGTCCTACCAGAATTTATTATTGCTGGCTACAATTTTACAAGCATAAGATATGCAGATGACACAGTGTTGATGACAGACACGGAAAGAAAATTACAAAAAATCCTAGAGAAGGGCGTGAAGGAAAGCTAGAAGAAAGGACTAAATGTCAACTCGTTAACAAAAGTATGAGGCCCAGATCAAACAAGTACAATTTGAATATCTGGGTAGTGTTTTAACAGAGGACGGAAAGTGCGACACTGAAATCCGAAGGCGCAATAATGCTTTCCAAAAGTTAAGCAGAGTATTAAGAAACGGGAAAACTTCGCTAGAAACAAAGCGTACTAAACTGTTATATGATATCTGTCCTCCTATATGGCAGAGAATGCTGGGTAATCTACTCAAAGATGAAGAAGGGAACAGAAGCTACAGAAATGTGGTTCTACAGAAGGATGCTGAGAATACAATAGACCATAATTTTGTGAGCAACGACGAGGATTTAAAGAATATGGAAACAAAAAGGAAAATTATACTTAAATCAGGAAGAGGCAGTTGAAATTTCTGGGGCACCTAATGATGAAGGAAGGCTTGGAAAATCTGATACTCACAGGACAGATTTGAGAAAAAAGTACAGAGGAAAACAGCGAATAACATACTTCATGGGTAAATGGATGGTGGGTCAGGGTTTAGCAGAAATAGCAAAAAGATTATTAAGACCTGCAAGGGACAAGAAGATGTAGAAGGCCATGATCTATCTATCCATTTTCCCCAGAAAGAATTACTGTCTATATTTCTGAGATGAGGTATTATGTACATTATTTACATTATTCGGACTATTATCCTCATCTTTGTCGCCATATTTATTACAACATTTCAGCCCTTCAGTATCTGACTATATTTCTGAGATGAGGTATTATGTACATTATTTACATTATTCGGACTATTATCCTCATCTTTGTCGCCATATTTATTACAACGTTTCGACCTTTCAGTATCTGTCTATATTTCTGAGATGAGGTATTATGTACATTATTCACATTATTCGGACTATTGTCCTCATCCTTTATGCCATATTTATTACAACGTTCCGGCCTTTCAGTATCTGTCTATATTTCTGAGATGAGGTATTATTTACATTATTCGGACTATTATCCTCATCTTTGTCGCCATATTTATTACAACGTTTCGACCTTTCACAAGCTGTCTATATTTCTGAGATGAGGTATTATGTACACTATTTACATTATTCGGATTATTGTCCTCATCTTTGTTGACATATTTATTACAACGTTTCGGCCTTTAAGAATCTGTCTATATTTTCTGAAATTAACTATTATGTACATTATTACAACGTTTCGGCCGTTGTACGCTCCGGCCTTCTTCAGGTGGTTGGAATATCGAACTGAACCATTTATTTCGCTCACTGGAGTAGACTGTTCTAGTTCCACGTGCCATGTTTAATGAATGTCAGTTATCAGTTATCTCCCGTTAATTTCCCTCTGAAAGTTCTCCACTGCCTTAGCCGGGTATTGACCTCACACTCTTTGGGTCCTGTCACTGGATTTAACTAAGCCTTTTATCCACTATTTCATGTATCCTTGAAATTAACAGGAGATAACTGATAACTGACATCCATTAAACATGACACGTGGATCTAGAACAGTCTACCCCGGTGAGCGAAATAAAGAGTTCTGTTCGACATTCCAACCACCCGAAGAAGGCCGGAGCGCACAACGGCCGAGACGTTGTAATAAATATGGCGACAAAAATGAGTATAATTGTCCGAATAATGTTAATAATGTAACGAATTACTAACTTATTGCAAAGTTAGGTTTCCATAATATAACGAAATTTAATTATATTAATCAGTTGATCTCCTCTTTTTTTTTAGGCTCGGCTGGATGTTTTCTGCTAGCACTGGTCTTTATCCGTCAATCTATTTGAAACACCAGACAGATTCTTGGGTGAAGAAGGCCCAGTTCGTGCACGAAACTTTACAGGAAACGTTTCGAGTGTTTAGAAGGTTTTCGTCAATGAATAAATCTGTCATTGTGCCCTACACAAGGTTCAGATATGAGGACCCTGAACAGTTATATAATAAGGTAATATTTTCTGTTTGGGGATAATGACCTAGTAAGAGATGATGATGATGATGATGATGATGATGATGATGATGATGATGATGCAACAACCAACACCACTATCAAAATAATAATAATAATAATATAATGGAATAAATGAGAGTCTTTAAATGTTTTCATGGAATAATCTTTGGAGGAAAGGGCAGAAAAAAATAAAAATACTTTTGATACACCCAAATATATAATAATAATAATAATAATAATAATAATAATAATAATAATAATAGAAACTACAAACAAAAAAAAAGTGCCTCCTTATTGATATGGCAGTCCCTGCAAACTAAAATGTATCTCTGAAGATATTCAAAAAGCTGTCAAAATACAAGGACCTTGAAATAGAAATCTCAAAAATGTGGCATATGGGAACATCAACAATCCCCGTTGTAGTTGGAGCCCTAGGATTGGTTGGAAAAGATTCCAGTAGACTCATTGAATGGATTCCTGGAAGTCCATGCCTTAAAGAGATACAAAAAATTGTTCTCACAAGTGCAGCCCATACTTTACGAAGGGCTTTATCTATGTAATTTTTTGGTTTTTTGTTTTGTGAGTGGAAAATGTCATGATGCCATTTCTAACCTTAGGTCTCTGGGCGGGACCCGGAAAGAAATGTGTAAACACCAGAAATGAAAGGAAATAATAATAATAATAATAATAATAATAATAATTTTTTTTTTAATTTTTTATTTATTTATTTATTTATATATTTTTTTTCAGTGGAAAGTGTCATGATGCCATTTCTAACCTTAGGTCCCTGGGCGGGACCCGGAAAGAAATGTGTAAATGCTAGATATCAAAGGAAATAATAATAATAATAATAATAATGATAATAATAATAATAATAATTCTTATTATGTAGTAGTAGAATTGTTGACAGTCTTTAGTTGTGTCCATGATATAAGCTTTGGGGTAAAGGGCAGAGAAAAGGAAAATACTTTTGATACACTCGGATATATAATAATAATAATAATAATAATAATAATAATAATATGGTTAATATAGTTGACAGCCTTTTAGAAAAAGCTATGATATAAGCTTTGGCATAAAGGACAGAAAAAAAAACGAAAATACTTTTGATATTATTATATATTTGTGTGTATCAAAAGTATATTCGTTATATTAGTGTCATAGATAGTCTTTAGTACCATGAAATAAGCTTCGGAGTAAAGGGTAGGAAAAAACGAAAACAGTTTTGAGACACCCGAATAAATAAATAAATAAATAAATAATAATAATATAGTGGAGTCATAGTTCGTCTTTAGATGTGTACATTGAATAATCTTTAAAAAAACGAAAATACTTTTGATACACCCGAATATATCGTGGAGTCATAGTTAGTGTTTAGATGCGTACATGAAATAAGCTTTGGAGAAAAGCGCTATTAAAAAAAAAAAAATAATTTTGATTCACATTTATATAAAAAATAACCCCGCATTTATAGAATCCTGACAAAAATTATCCCCAGCAATTATATATTTATATCCTTAAAAACAAACATATATACAGTCCTGTTCGATAAAAGTGACTCACCTTATTCTTTGAATTTAGATCAACTTTCGTTTCATCGGAGAAGAGAACATTCTTCCAGTCTTCTACGGTGAAATTTTTGTAATAGTGAGCCCATTCAAGTCTCTTGGCTTTGTTGGCTTTGCTTATTAGTGGCTTAAACCTTCGTGTACAAGATTTGTAGCCTTGTTCTAACAGCCACCGACGGACTGTGGAAGAGGCAAGACTAACACCTTGCTCTTCGCTTAGACTGGCTGCAACTTCTTGACTAGTTATAGTCCTATTCTTCGCAACTACTCTCTTGATTACCCTGCCAGTTCTATCATCAATCTTTTTCTTTCGTCCCCTTGTTTCTTTCCTTGGAGCAAGAGTGGCATCATTATGTACCCTAAGCACTCGAGAGACAATTGATTGAGAGGTTATAGCAATTTCTGCAATTTCTCTCGTAGACTTGCCTGCTTTTGGGAGGGCAATAATAGAGTCCTTAAATGGTTCTGAATGGCTATTTCAAGCTGTTTTTATACTGTACGAGGCTTTCTGGAATTTAATTTAAGCTGTTCTAGAATTCTCTTGAATATTGTTCTGAGTGTAAAATAGTTTCAATATTTTATCAAAAGCTCTTTAAATTTACCAGTTTAATCATTAGAATGCAATATCTGAGTCACTTTTTTTTCCACAGAGTTTTTTCCTGAATCTCATTTATATCCAAATTTATAATTATCAATAGAATACCTTAGGGTGAATAAACTTTTTTACTAGATGGTCGGGAAGGGGTCTTTATATTAGCAAGATTAAAAATTATTTTAACCCCCAAAACAATACACAAAAAAGTAAAGAAAATCAGGTGAGTCACTTTTATCGAACAGCACTGTGTATCTCATGTTTTTCTGTAAAATATTAAAACATTTTTTTTTTCATTCCAGGCTGAACTTTTAATTACAATTGTTATACCCGCGATTACCGGATCTGCGGGTGTGGTACTCTGGGACAGTTCCGTGAACTTCGAAGACGAAGCCCTTTGCAGAAGCACGGAACGATACCTGAGTCGAACACTGGGGCCATTCGTCGTGACCTTGACGGATTTTCTCAAAAATTGCAGCAGGCAACAATGCAATAATCAGGGACGCTGCGTGAAAAGACACGCCTTCGTTGTGCAGCCCAACATTTCATCGTACTTACTGCATACAGCCGGCCGTCTGTGGAGGGTTTTACGAAGCCTCATGTACAGCCAGTACTCTTGGCTACACCAATGGCATAATAAATCTCAACCAGATTTTAGCGTCTCGGATATCTTGCACAGCTATGACTACACGTGCCAATGTTACCCTGGATGGGGTGGAACATCCTGTAACGTTACTTCACATGCATAATTCTCTTTGAATCGTCTTCAAACTGATTTCTTACTGCTAGAAGAGACGCAATATCCTGCCCAAATTTCTGGGCCGAGGAGCTATCATTATTCAACGTATTTACACGCGGACGATAGTCCTCATCTTTATTGTTGTTATCACAACCTCTCAGTCTTTTTGGTCTTCAGTTTTCATCGGGTGCTAGATCCGGCCGGGTCAGCTTCAAGGAATTTCAAACACTTTATTTAATAAAGTGTTCTCCTTCCAATGCCTAGGGATATCTCGTGTCTAGTTCTTACTTAATATTGTTCTGTTATTCCACATACCAAATTGTGAGTTCAATCTATGGGACAGGTAGTTCAAACTCAGATTCAATGGATGAGTTTGATTGATTTTGTTTAGCGGCATATCGACCTCTGTAGGTTATTTAATGCCGAAATCTAAATATTTTGAACACAATTTTATGACTTCAGCTAAATATATTTTGAACGCAATTGTATGACTTCAACTACTAATAAAATGTATTACTTGCATTATTTACATTATTCGGACTGTTATCCTTATCTTCATTGTCAATTTCACAACGTTTCGGCTATTGTACGCTCCGGCTTTCTTCAGATGATTGGAATTTCGAACCGAACCTTTTATTTTTTTTATTTCATCCACCGGGGTAGATTGTTCCATGTACCATCCCTCTTCCGGATGTCTCAATTATTTCCCTTTAATTCAACTCCCCAAATTTTGGCTCGTCACTGCTGTGGTCTGGTATTGAACTTTCAACTCTCTGGATCTAGTCACTGGATCTAACCAACATCTTTATCCACTGGGCCATGTGTCC